TCCCCTCCAGTGTGCAGTTTAGATGTTCAGATGGGCCCCTCCCTGGGGGCAGCTGGGATGTGGCGTCTGACAGTCCACCCCAACACCCCCCCCCCCCCCCCGCAGAAGCCGCTACAAAATACTTCCTCACCCAAGCAACAGCCGCCGCAATAATCCTATCCCCCCCCCCCCCCACAAACTTCCATGGGAAGATGGAAGGGAGGTTTTAAAGGAACAGTGTGGAAGACCGGTCGCCAGTGCTTGGCTCCGCACTCGGGTCTCATGAGGGATGTGCAGGGGCTGGCATCTGTGCCCCCCACCCCTCGTGGGTAGAGATGCAGAACTATTGAGAAACCATTTTACAGAGTCTGAGCTCTGCATTGTGTTTCATTTAAGCTCCTATGTTTATATTTAATCTCCCTCTGCCTTTGTGTCCACATCCCACGCACCCCCGCTTGGCAGCCCCCCCCCCTCCCCAGCAATGTGGACCATGCGGTTTCTCCTCGGTGCTGAGCAGCCATCACAGTGGAAAGTGGGGTTTCTCCGGGCCGCTCCCGCCTCCCGCCGCGACCTCTGGCTCCTCGTCTGGGAACCTTGCGTGACCCCCGTTTAATTGGGCCTATTCTTGTCCCTTGCCGTGTTTACGTGACAGTGTGTGCGGGAAATGCAGAGGGCGCCTGCTCCGTCACCAGCGGCCAAATCATAAAGACACAGAAGGCCTCAGATGGCGAGCGTATCTCGGGGGGGCTGCGTCTGCTGCCGCTGGCTGCCCATGATAGCGGAGACCAGGTAGGATTAGGCCGCTGCACCTCCCCTCTATCCATCTGGACCGAGCTTCTGACCAGCCAGGTCCTCCAGGAAGTGGGAACGGGGAGCGGAAGGTCGTAACAGGCCACAAGAGAGATTAAAAGACATAAAAAGAGAGATCAAGGTCAGAAGAGGCAGGTCGTCTCGTCTCACCCATGTTCCAAATGGCTGTTCTCTCTTTATGAGGTGTACACATGTATGCATCCATGTGTATCTGCACATCTGTCTTCCTGCTCTGCTTACATATGGAATAGTGCAGTTAAACCCCCCCCCCCCCATCTCAGCGTCTTGTGGTAGAAAAGCTTGTGATGACATTTTTGTCTTTTCTAAGAGAAAGAGAAGGAAATCTGGATCTAATGTTTTCTCTCTGCGTGACCCCTGGCCATGACGGAATGTTCTGGCCCTGAGCGTCGTGGCTGGTCTTGCAGTCCGACGTGTTCCTGCTTTCTGAGCCCCACAAATGCTCCGCATCATGACCTCGGGCTTCTGGGTAAAGCTGCCCAGTTTCAGTCATCCTAACCTTGGGGTCATGAGGTTAAGGAGGGGTCACACTAATGGGGACTGAGACCTAAGGTCTGTCAGGATGCTGTTGTATTCTGGGAAGGTTTTAGCAGTGGGGTGTAGCGCACCTCAAAGGAGGCGGAGTCCGCAGGCAGGGGGGGCTGCCATTGGATCCCTGAGAGGAGGTTCCGCTCCAGCCTCTCCTGTTCAGACATGCTGTGGGTTTGCCGCTGGCTCCCACCGACCCCCCCGATCACCTTCTGAGATCTCCCAGCGGAGCCTCTCTTTGTCCCCTGTCTCTTGATCTTCCAGAGCAGTTTTTTTTTGGGGGGGGGGGCACCCTTGTACTAACTAGCGAGAGACCTGAATATATCCTCGTCATTTCCTGACCCCCCCCCCTGCACGCTGTCTGGCACAGACTGCATAACTCTGCTGTTTGTTTTTCAAAGAGTGGCGTTTATCTCTCGGCATGACAGCACACTGTGTCCCCCCCCCCCGGTCACCGCCGCCCCCCCCTCCATCCCTCTGGATGGTCGTGACCCAGGTCTGCAGCAGGTGTCTGCGCGGGGGGGCGGACCTGTGCCTCTGCGTGCAGGATTTCCGATTCTGTCTTTTGAAATATTCCGGCCTGGATGAGTGTAGCCACTCAGAAGGTTCCGGACAGTCGAGTGAGGATTAGTTGTGGTGGGGGTTGGAGCTGATGGGGACGTCTTGGCTCATGCTGGGATCCCCCTCCCAGAGCGTCTGCGTGTGGTGGGGGCGCCGCGCGCACCGTCCAGAACACATCAGCGCGTAATTCGAAACAGGAGAACTCAGCCGCAGGAGCGTTGGCGCTGCTACATGTGTGTGCGTCCTCGCCCCCCCCCCATTCCACTCAAACGGGGCTCCACGTCACCACCTGAGTCAGCAGGGTGCTGTGTGTGTCTGTGTCTCTGTCGGTCTGTGTCTCTGTCGGTCTGTGTCTCTGTCGGTCTGTGTCCCTGTCGGTCTGTGTCTCTGTCGGTCTGTGTCTCTGTCGGTCTGTGTCTCTGTCTGTATGTGTCTCTGTCTGTATGTGTCTCTGTCTGTATGTGTGTTTGTAACAGACGAGGTCTGATCCACACCCAGTCCCAGCCAAACTGGGGCCAAATCACAGGCCTGTAAACCGCGGGGGGTAATTGCAGGCCAGCGCCCTGTAAAACCTGCTCTTTAATTCCTCCCTGCTTGGATCTTTTCTCTCCCCCTGTACTCTCTCCCTCTCTCTGTCCATATCTCTCTCTCTCTCTCTCTCTCTCTCTCTCTCTCTTTCCTTCTCTTTCTCTCTCTGGAGGAAATAAAGTTTGTGGCGGAACAGAGTAGCAGGAAGCCGAACGGCGGGCGAGGGAGGAAAGGGGGGTACAGACTGTCCCAGCAGCCCCCCCCCATTGCAAGGCCGGCCCCCGCCTCCCTGTACTGACCTTTCTGCCAAGTGAGATAAGTGTAGCTGTGATGGTTATCTCTACCCTCCCTGCTGAAGGTCTGTCTGACAGCCTTGCATGTTCCCACACGGTAGCTGGGTTTGGCTGTGATGAGGGGGGGGGGGGTAGCATTTGCACTTAGCACCAGAGTGAGGATCTCACTGTTTGTTAGCCTCAATTTTTCCCTAAACCAAGAGGTGCAGATTGACTAAAAGCTCCCAGTTCCCAGATGCCCCACTATGACATCACAAGCCTTCTGTGATTGGAGCCTTTAGGTCATGTGACTGCATGTCATGTGATTTCGCGGGATGGCGATGACCGGCTGTGGACCTGTTTTAATTCAGTAGTTTAATGCTCCCTGCACAAGGTGTGGTCCACAGGAGCCCAGAGTGTGGGAGTCACGGGTCGCAGTTTGGTGGGGCTAGCGGCCCGGTCCCGATTCGGAGGCCTGATGACCCTCCAGGAAAACGAGCGGGACGACTTGTAAAGCGGAGGGGATTACCTCGAGAAGCTTTAAGGGGATTAGAGGATAGTCTGGGCAGTTTTAAGGTTACACATGGTGGGATCGCAGCGTTGGGCCTCGCAGAGCGTGAAAAACCCCTTTCATGACATCGCTGAGAGCGCCGCCTTGTCCTCCGCTGGAGGGAACACCATCGGAGCGTTTATATGAGCCACGGGGAGGATTTCCAATGCAGCCAGGCTGAGGGGGGGCAGGCTGTACCTCCGAGGGTCTGGCCCATCTCCCCTCTGTGCCTCCGTGTTTGTGTAGCAGTGTCGCCATAAGTTTCCATCCCATAAATCACGGGTGGGGAGGAGAAAAAGCTCACGGGGCAGCAGCAGCCGTCCCCTCGGTGCGTGCCTCGATTATGACGTCACACGGGCACGGGGTGGGCTGCCCTCCCCGGCCAGACACTTCAGGCAGAGGTGCTGTGATTTTTGGGGGTCTGCCTTGGCACGTGGCCCCCCTCGGAGGCGGCGTGAGCAGCAGTGGCCACCGGAGGGCGCTGTCTGACCTCTGACGCGCTGCGCTCGCGTTTCTGCACATCGTCGTCGTTTTTGATCCAACACCGCAATAGTGCATCTCTGGCTGCATGTCTAAAAGATGACACTGTGAGGCAGATCTGTTCATACTATGGGGGGGGGGCACATTTCCCTGGTGGGGTGTGAAGGAATTTCAGGGAGGGTGTAGATCAGAATCAGAATCAGAATGCTTTTTATTAGCCAAGTATGTTTCCATACAAGGAATTTGCCTTGGTGGGGCTTTTAGAAGACGTTACGAGAATGAGCTGAGGGGGAAATAAGAGAACTGTGAGGGAGGTTTCAGGTAGAAGGAAATCGCAATTAATCTGTGAAAATATAAAAACATAATATAAATACATTCTATACCTGTACCTTATACATGTGTTTGTGACCATTTAAAATAATTAAAAAGTGTGAAACAGACAAACAGACCACAGAACAACATAGTGAAAGTGTGCAGTGGGAAGGTTTCTCAGTTAATGCTGCACAGGCTACTTGGAGGAACCTTGGGGAAATTTCTAGCCTCTATTAGTATTAAAAGAAAACAAATAAAATGAATGAAAACAGAAAATATGTCTAGGCTTGGGGACAAGTCTGGAATAAGGTTTTATTTCAGTTATTGTGAATAGAAAGGTGACGTTTATCTGTGTGTGTGTGTGTGTGTGTGTGTGTGTGTGTGTGTGTGTTGGGGGGAGAGATCAGGGCAAATATATTAGCCATGGGAGGGTCCATGCAGTGAAGCCTTTGCGTGCTCTTCGCCCCCCAGTGCCGTTCCGAGGACCTGGTGGGGATGTAAATGGCTGTCTGACTTTTACCAGTTTGCCTTCTCTTTCCTGGCATCAGGAACCTCTGTCCATTAAGTGACCTCTTTAGGTGGGAATTGGTGGCTGTTAATCATTAGCAGAATTTTGTCAGGCTTCGAACCCACTGAACTGGGGACGAGTGTCCAATCAAGCCAGGAAAAATACTACAACAGTGTTTCAGTTCTCTTCTGTTAGTGCGTCAGAACCTTTCATTATTTATAATCATTATTATTTGCCTGCTAGCAGCGTTTATGAAGTGCTTTGTGCATGTGCTTTGATGTATTTTCACTGTTCTTTATCAGTATAAATTAAATTGGTATGAAAACCCCACCGAAAACTTGGCTGAGCCATTTTAGCTCTGATTCCTTAACCACGATGCCCCCTGCTGGCCGGTGGTCAGTCTGAGATTAGATACAGTGATGGGGAGCCGCTAAGGGGACCTGGTTTGTTTCAGATGGAGCAGTTTTCTGACGAGGAACTGGACCATGCTGCTGAAGAAGACAGTGACAAGGAGGACCAGGACCTGGACAAGATGTTCGGGGCGTGGCTGGGAGAGCTGGATAAGCTGACCAAGGTGGGTGGAGCGTGGTAATGTCCTGGGGTCATGTGACTGGCCAGCGTGGGCCGGCAAGCTTCTCTGCTGCCTCCTCTAACAGCTTCCTTGTCTTCCGTGCCTCCAGAGCCTTGATGACGGAAAGCCGGAAAAAGTCCACAAGCCGCCCCTCATCCAAGATACCAACCTGGCCAACTTCTCCTACCGCTTCTCTATGTACAACATCAACGGTGAGCCCGTCCCCCCCCCTGCCCTGCCGTACTGCCGTCCCCCACCGGTCGCTGTGGTGCCCACACCACGCCCCTCTGACTCCAGGATCAGTCCGGAGCTCTGTGTCACTGCTGTGCCACTTTCCTGACATTAGGGGTTCCCAACCTACCAGTGGGCCAGTTTACGTACCAGTAAAATGGGCATCTGGGGCTGGGAGTAAAAATTACTCTGGGGCTGTGTTTGTTGATCATTACGGGATGCAGCATCTTATTTTTCGGTACAGGGTGATCCGGTAATATATGGGACAGCCGCATTTCTACCCCCATCCTTTCACAGCCCATGGAGCAGGGCTTGGAGACCCCGACCTTACATTATGTGTCTTGTGTAGTATTGCTTATCTGTTTTTATCAGACTGTGTAAATGGAGCTGGGCGGTTGGCGGGTCCCGGGGCCACAGACTGACATGCCCGTCTGTCTCGGCAGAGGCGCTGAGCCAGGGGGAGCCCGTGGACCTGGACGCCCTCATGGCCGACCTGTGCTCCATCGAGCAGGAGCTGAGCACCATCGGCAAGCCAAGCGGGGGCTCGGTGCGACTCACCCTTCCGGGGGACGTCAAGGGCCACCAGAGGGCGCCGGTGAGCCGGGGCGGAGGGGGCAGCAGCGGGGGCAGCGCCAGCAGCAGCACTAGGGTGTCCCCAGCCTCCACGCTGCGGGCGGGCAGCAGCCACGGCCGACCGCTGGCCTCCAAGCTCTCCCTGGACGACATCACGGCGCAGCTGGAACGTGCCTCGCTCAGCATGGACGAGGCGGCCTGCCAGAGCCCATCCTCCTCAGCGCTGCCCTCCTCCTCCTCCTCCCCCGCCTCCTCTTACTCCTCGTCCACCATGCACCGCCCCCCTCAGTCTGTGCGGCACCACCGGCGCACGGGCTCGGCCGGCGCCGTCAGCGACCATGAGATCCGGTGCATCAGCCGTTCCTCCCGCTCCAGCATCAATTCGGCCTCCGCCTCCAGCGTGGACTCGTTGGACATTGAGAAGACGGCCCGGCCCGGCGAGGTGGATGGGCTCCAGCGGCCCGATCCCCAGGGGCAGGGCCAGACCAGCTCCGAGGTACGGCCCCCTCCCCGAAAGCCTGTTCCCCCCCCACCCTCAGGGCCGGCCTGCCCTCCTCTGTGTAGCTTCCACTAAACTCGACCGATTCCCTCCACAGATCTGCGGTCCTTCCCATCCGGGGTCAGTGTTAAGTTCGATTTTGAAGTTTGTTTTCTCACTTTGCAGTTTGCTCCTCACTTTTGCCCTGTGTCTGTCTAACCATTTGCAGTGGTTTGGCTCCCCAGTGGTTAAAGGAGAGTTGGTGCAGGTTCCAGGTGCACGATACTGAGAGCATGTAGACAGATTCCCATAAGACAGAGAAGTAGGAACTTCTAGCTGGGCCTCAGGTTCCAGATGTGTCAGATGGACCTGAAGCCGTGACCATAACAAACTCCGCCATCTCCAGCTAAAGATTTTCTCTCTTAATTTATCAGTATGACAGTGGGGAACACAGACACACAGGCACACACACACAGACACACAGCTGGATTTCAGCAGAGTTACACATGAGAGGGAGAGATGGGAGGTGTGAATGGGGGGGGGGTGTTTTGCTTGGGGATGAGTCAGAGCTCAGTGCTATAGGCCCCTGGGGTGTGAAGTCCTGCTGTGTGTGTGTTACTCGTGCTGACAGCACGCGTGTCCCCTGCGGGCCCTCAGAGTGTCAACTCCCCGCCCCTCCCCACTCGTCCCAGTGCCTATAGCATCGCGTCTCTCCACCCCTCACGCGCCTGGGGCTCGCAGAACCTCCAGATTTCAGGCCTGCGTGTGCAAACCCCCCCCCCCCCCATCCCCTCCCATCAGAGCCACTGGCCAGCTGCCGGGGGGGCGAAGCCTGTAGATTAATCGGGTTGGACACATTCTTTGACCCAGATTACGGCTCAGACCGGCTGCAAATCCGTCCCAGTAATGCGCGGCACAATCAGACCCACAGAGTTTGGGCTGATGATTGAAATCAGGCCTCTTTCTCTCCAGCATGATTCATCAGAAAACACATTTGGCCTGAATCAGTGAGTCGTGCCATAGCACAGCTAAGCTGATGTTGTAGATTAATGCTGATGCGTCAGTCATTTCCAGCCCTGATAAAGGAGTCAAACGCGACAGTGTGTGACGAATAGCCAGGCCTCGGTGGTGCGTCGTGCGGGTGACATCGCGTTTGTGCGCCTTCTGGAGCCGTTTCCCCTACGGTTTTGACGCGGAGTGCTGCTGTGGGTGTGGTTTCACGTGCGGGTGGGAATGAAGGATCAGGGTGAACACAGGCTTGCACGCACAGAGTTAATCGCTTAGGATGCAAATGCTGCGTTCAAATTCCCATCAGACTGCTATTTGGAACAAACACGAATCGCAGTGACGCCATGTTGATCTCCTGTCACTAATCTGTTTGTGTTTTTTTTCCTGATGAGAAGCAGCCGCCCCGTATCTCCTTTTGTTTCGTCACCACACACAATCACAGGAAGCCACATGTGCATGAAACACCATCCGTCCGTCATTCATAGCTACATATCGGGCAGAGTCTCAGAGAGCCTAGAGTCTATCGCACAGAATACGGGGATGGGGGCGTCCTGGACAGGTTGATGAAACACTTTTTTTTTTACTATGAAGTTACACGCTACTAATAGAATATAAGCACCATTTTGCTTGTGGTAGTTTTACTTACTCAAAAATGTTCGGAGGGCAGAAGGAAATGTGATTGGTTGAGAGAGAGAACCAATCAGATTGTAGTGGAGGTGGGTCCAAGCAAATAGGGGAGGCAGGACCAACTAATCAAATGTCTTGGTCCCGCCTCCTCTACAATCTAATTATCTCTCTGAACCAATCATTTTTCCTTCTGCCCTCAGAACATTTTTGTGTAAGTAAAACTCCCATGAGCCACCAGTTTGGCTGTGCTGTGAGGTTACAGCCATTCTGTCTGTGTCTGCTGAATAAGGCACGTGTGCTGCAATGCTGCGGGTGACACAGGGTCGCTGCTTGAAAGGAGGACTGGGGCTCCTGTGATCTTCTGCACAGCATTAATGTATCTGCTGCCATCTGTGAGAATTGTTTCCAAAAATGCACCCAATGTCCACCGATGTCCACACTGACGTTTCTCATTTCTTCTCCCCCTCTTTCTTCTGCACCAAGCACTCCTATCTGGACAGGGAAACCTCCCTCATTCTGAAAAGCATTGCAGGAAAGCCTTCTCATTTGCTGACAAAGGTGACGCCCTCTCTGCCTGCTCCGCCCCCTGCCTGCCTGCCTGCCTGCCTGTCAGTGATTGGCCCTTGCTTATACAGGCGCCTCATAACCACACCCTCTTTGTGCCTGAGACTCCGCCCCCTCTCTTGAAGCGACCTTATTCTGATTCTGATAAATAGAAAATCAGAAGTAAATGGTAAATAGTGAAAAACCTACCTGTGACATTGTGGTAGTTTTTCTTCCATCTTTTATATAACGGGCAGGTCCTGCTGACAGAAAGAGGGCTGGTCTTCTCCGCCTTGGCGCTTTTGTGAATCAGTCCCTAACTCTGTCCCCTTCCTCTCTTGGGCCCCCCGGCCCCTCTTTTTCTACGCACCCTCGGAGACCATACCTTGGGACCCCTCTCCCCGTTTGAGGTGTCCCCCTGTTGTCATGGATATAAACTGACAAACTAGAAGAGAATGTGACCCATTTGTGAAATGTTCCGGAATGCTTCCGGGGCTTCCCGTGTGTCGCCGGAACCGGAATGTACCCTGAACTTGTGCCCACGGGGAGACCGCCGCACGGAAGCATGACGGAGCATGCGATATCAGCGCTGACCCGCGTCAGCATGCAATGTCAGTGCTGAGGCGCGATTGCATGGGCTGGACCTGCGTGTATTCTGACGATGCATGATGTTTGTAAATGCGGTGGCGGATATGCGGGCATGCGATTTGGAACTTGGGTTTGCATTGGGGGGGTTGGGTGAATAGCTTTTTGAATAGGGGTTGGACAGGGTTACTGTGGTGTTTTGAATAGGGTTGGGGGAGTTTAAATGGGATTGCTGGGGTGTTTGGACAGGGTGAGTGGAGTTTTCACACGGTGGGATGAGTTTGAATGGGGGGGGAGTGTGTTTAATTGGGGTTTATAGACTGCCGGATCATTCAGAATGAATCGCTGGTTATTTTCATCTCTGGAAGCTAAACTGAGAAGCCACTCACCCGGTGAATGTTCTGCTTTTTTGGGAGGAAAACGTGGTCCTGTGTGCCTTCTGTGTCCTCTGCAGCATTTCTGTGGGTGCAACCAAGCCGACACCTCAGATGGCACCTTTATGGGTTTAGGGTTAGGGTTAGGGTTAGGCTTAGGCACCCTACCAGACCTCCAGACCTTTCTCTTTGAGGGGCCTGTGTGCTTTCTTTTTTTTTTTTTTTTTTGTATGAGCTCTCTCTGAGGCGTCAGCACAGACGGTCCTGCAAGGCACCGGAACATCCTGCCGCTCGGCCCGTTTGCCTGCAGATCACGTGTCCTCAGCCCGTCCGTCCTGGACCTGCACGAGTCACAGCGGAGCGGCAGGCATGTGTGACGTGGGCAAATCTTTTTGGTGACGTGGAGTTGAAGGTCAGGGATTCGGGTGAACTCCAGACCGCTCCACATGAATACACTTACTCCAGTTTTGCGTAAAATGTCATATTATGCAGGAATAGGGCGTCACTGCGGAGCGGGAAGGGTCCCATTCACCACGGAACTGGTCCTTCCTGGCCTGGCCCCCCCCCCACTGTGACTAAACCACGCCATCATACCCTCACCCCATGTGCCCCTAGTCCAGACAGGATCCCAGACCCCTAATTCCCTAATTCGGGCCGTGATTGGTTTACTCTGCACCCACGTGGCAGTGACCATGGTGACCGGCGGGATGACTGTCTGCATAGAGTCGGCCTGTCACCATCGGCACTCCCCTCGGAGGCCCCGAGCTTAACAGAGAGCCTGGTAAACCCAGCAGCCTCTCCGTCTGTAAGGACGTGAGTCATTGGCTGTCATTCTGGCCAATCAGGACAGGATTTTAGTTGGGGGTGGGGGGGGTTCTCAAGCACGACTGTGGCTTCTGCAATTAATTTGCGACCTAGCAGGGTCTGTGTGGATTAACCAGCTAGGTGGCGCCGTCGAACCCCCTCATCAGAATGTCCGATAAGGCAGATAGCCAGGGTGTCCATATGGCTGCGGCCAGGAAGGCCGTCTTACACCCTCCTCGGCCATGCTGTCGAGGGGGCAGCGCAGACACAAGTTCCCAAGTGGGATATCTGTGCGCAGCTGCAGACTTGCCCTGCAGGGAATCTGTCTGCGCAGCTGGTAACACGGACAGGAGCATGTCGGCACCTTTGCCAGCAAAAACACCTTCCTGTCTCTTAATTGGTTGATGCCTTTATGGCTGTTGCTATGGCACCCGTGCGGAGGGGCAGCCGGGAAAGGAGGGGCGGAGGTTTATGAGGAGGCTCTGACTCCCCTGCCTCCGCCCACCTCCCCCCCCACCACCCTCACCCACCATTTGAAAACAGCCCAGCGTCTGCATGCAGCTTGGGGTGAAAGATGCAGCGTGTAATGAGAGTGAGATGCAGGGGTGACCACTCTGCCCCTCCCCCATTGCCCGATTAGTGGAGGGAGGGGGATTACTGCCTGATTTGCCTGTTTCCAAGGATGTGCAACTGTTTATGGTAGGATAGAGAGAGTGAGGCGGGGGGGGAGAGAGAGAGATTGCCCTCCACTCCCCAGCCAAGCTCCCTGTCTGTGTCTGGCAGAAGTGGGGCTTGACAGCAGAGTCGTCCCCATTCTTCGTGTCACGTCTGGCCGGCACGGAGTGCCACTCTCACCCCGCACGCGGGCCGCTCCGTCGGGTCCAGCCACCACGCCGCCCCCTACGGGAGCGTGCGCCCCGCTGGATGGCCAGAGGCCCAGATTTTTTTGTTTCTTTCTTTGGACTGATTTGGATTCTCAGAACGTTTTTTCATCTTGCATCATGCGGCCCTGTGTTTTTTCATTTAATTTTTTTAAATCTGTACAAAAGAAAGTCAGGCCCCCTGGGAGGGAGAATTTCTTCTTATATGGGGGGGAGCTCTGACTGACCTGCCTATATGGTATGTCTTTTTTTGCTGTATTTATTTTTTTTTAAATCAGAACCCAGAGCGGCATTTGGTCTAATCCAGCGTGGAGAATCCTGAAAGCATTGGGAGAATCCAAGTTGGACCACGGGGGTGCAGCGTCTCTGAAAGGACATCACATGCTAGAATCGAAATACTGGTTCCCCCCCCCATTATTAAAGAGTGGGGTGTTTTTTTCATTGGGCTGTATATAAGGAGGCCCTGCAGGGTTGGTGGGACAGTGGAGAGACCATGACATCCTGCTGGAGGAGCCAGGTAGGCGGTGGACGGGGCCACAAGGCACTCTGTCGAAGACAGATTCCCTCTAGGGGGCGCTGAGCTCTGTTTGGCCTGAGGGTACCTTGGAGAGGGCAGAGTAGGGGGGGAGCGTGTCCCTGGGGATCCATCCATGGCATCTTCCTTCACTAATGGTCTGGTGTGTCTGTAGGAGGAACAGGCCGCCAAGCTAAAGGCCGAGAAAATCCGAGTGGCTCTGGAGAAGATCAAGGAGGCGCAGGTGAAGAAGGTAAGAGCAGCCGCTCGTGGCCCCGCCCACGTGGAGTCACACGGGGCAGGCGAGTGACAGGAAGCGGCGTCATTACCCACAATCCACGGGGTGTCTCTGCGTGAGGTGCTGGGTGTTTGGAAATAGGGGCATATTGAGCCTGTTTGCTTTATTCGGTGGTGCTTCTGCGTTCACAAGGTTGAGTTTCAGAAGACAGAAGTAGACAAAGTACCCAAGACACTGGGAGGGTTTCTAAAATGCACATGGGATGGCTTTGGAGATTGAGTGTGAATCGCTTAAGTTCACGTAGGACAGGTAATATTGTGGTTAGAGACTTGTTGCTGGTTGATGTCCCAGGAGGACTCTTCTGTTGTACCTTTGTAGGACCTCTTTGTCTTCTGTAAAATGATCGCCTGCTTGAATGCTTTGGATTAAAGTGTCTGATAAGCATCTGCGTATATGAGGGACTCTGAGCGACAAGGCGCTTCTTTTCTGGGTCAGTGTGACAGTGTGAGCTTCCCCAGGGCCCGATTACTCAGCCGCCCGGCCTGAGACCCTGTCCCGCTCTCTCTCCTGCTGTAATCACAGACCTTCCACGGTTTGTGTCCCAGATTTGAGAAACATCAGGGATTAAGAGTGTGGAGCCATGACCGCTCTGTCCCAGGCCTCGTGCTGAAACATAAGAGTGGCAGGGTGGAAGAAATCCCACGTGCCAGCTGACCAGAGCATGTGAGCGGAGCGGAGCGTGAGCGAGGAGCGGAGCGGGCGGAATTTGGCCAGAGCGCGGAGCAGGTTTTCTAATTAAGGCTGGAGCGGTCGCTTTGTCTCGCTCCAATTTCGCTCC